CCTCCCAAATCCTGAATCTGCACCTCCCAAATCCTGAATCTGCACCTCCTAAATCTGCACCTCCAAATCCTGAATCTGCATCTCCCAAATCCTGAATCTGCACCTCCCAAACCCCTCAGGAGCTGTTTGCTGTCTGCAGGAGCTCATCCCCGTGCTGGAGGCGAGCACACAAAAGCCAAATCCATTTTCTTATGGAGCTGCTTCCTGAGGATTTTTTTTTTCTGTCAAGGAGAAATTTGCCATAAAATGAATTTCCTCGGGCAGGGTTGCAGGAGCTCGGGAGCGTGCCTGGGTTGTGCTGCAGAGGAAACAGAAAACTGCTGGAAAAAAAGAAAAACCTTGTGCCAAGGAATTTGCTTTTAACAGGAGAAAGGTTTGGGAGTGTGCAGACAGACCTTGGCTGGCTGATTGGGGCAGGAAAAGGGAATCTGCTGCGGAATTATCTTGGAACCGGCTGGATTTCTCTGGCAATCCCTGGCTGGATGATTTCCTCTCCAGCAGGAATCACAGCTCTGTGTTTCCAGCAGGTGGGATGGATGTTCCCTGCACACCCTTGGCTGATTCCTCTGGCTGCCAGTCGTGGTTTTGCTCTGGCTGAGCTGTTTTCCAGCTGGGATGTGAAGGCTGTGCTCCAGGGATGCTGTTCCAGTGGGAATATCTCCCTGTGGGTGCAGCTCCCAGTGCCCCATCCCGCAGCCTCGGGGTTATTTTAGAATCACTTTTGGGTCTAATTTGAAATATCTGATCAAAGGTTGTTGTTAAAGCTGGAAAATGGAGCCTGGGGAATGCCAAAACCAGGATTTTCCCTGCATTTTTTTGCTTGGATCTTGGGAAGCTCAAGTGGCATTGGCACTCCAGGATCCTGGGGCACCTTCCCTGCGCTCCTGGCAGGGACAGGGCACTGCTGCTTCTCCATTCCCATCCCAAATAAATCTGGGTCAGGGCCTGGCTGATCCAGGGAATAACGTGGCTGCTTGCAGGCAAAAAAATCCCTGCAAGTCTGGCTCGGACTGAAAGATTGGGATGGATTTCCTGCACTCTCCCTGCACAAAAACCCACGGAGTTATTTCCCAGGCCATCCCTGTCCCTGTGATGGAATGCAGATCTGGCTGGGATGACAATTCCCATCCCAGTGCTCATCCCACAAATTTGGGATTGGTGCCTGGTCTCACAGGGGCCAACAGCATTCCCAGATGTGCCTTTTTCCCTGGAAAAGCTCCTGCCAGGGGGCTGCTCTTCCCCTGGGAAGGTTCAAATAAGTGAAGCCAGGCTGGAGTTAAATGCCCTGAATTCCTTGGAGCAGATGAGATACAAAGGGCTGGAAGTTTGGGAAGCAAAGGGAGGTGTTTTGTTAAGCCACGTGTGGTCTGGGCACCAGATCCCCGCTGGATACAGAGAATTTGGGGAGCTTCAAAGCCCTGGAGGCAAATTTTTGGCAGAGCCCTGCCTTAGGATGAGGCTGAGTGGGGATTTTTTGGGGTGTGGGGTGTTGGCAGAGGGGTTTGGGGGGGCTTTGCCCCTGGGGTTCCTCTGTCCCCGGGCTGGGATCTTCCCAGAAAAGGGGGATCAGCACCTGCTGAGCTGTTCTTCCCTAAACCCCGAGCTCCTGGGGGCAGGGATGGATCCCTGCTCCCTGCTCCGGGTCTGATCCTGGCTCTCCGTGCATGCAGGGAAGGAGAAGATGGAGTTTTACAGCGTGTTTAATTCAGGGGTGCCCAGCTCAGCCTGCCCTGGGTTCCCATGGACCATCCCATCCCCACCCTCAACTTCCTCCGTGAAATCTCCTCTTGGGACAGGCGGGGAAGGAGCAGGAGTGAGCAGGGGAGTGATGGAAACAGAAATATCTCCCCCCACACCCCCCCGGATGATGCTGGGGGTGTTTCCTCCAGCACAGCACAATGCTTCCCATTCATCCGCCCTTTTGCTGGGAATGCCGGCCTTGTTTGGATCTGCTGTGCCCGCGGATTGTTTCCTGTCCAGCTTTGGTGGAACAGACAGCGCAGAGGCTTCGGGCTGACAGGCAGACTTTGAGGAAGGCTTGGAAAATATTATTCCATGGGACAGCCCGTGCCTCCCACGCTGTGTCTCTCAGGCTGGGGGGGAGGAAGGGGGAAAATAAAAATAAAACAAGGGGGAAAAAAAGTTTTATTAATGTAAGGAGATTGGAAACCAGGCAGAAATCTTCTCCTGTGTTTTCTCGGGATGAATGGGAATCCTTGTGGTCTGGGAGCCAGCTGAAGACACGGTGGGAATTTCTCTCTGGCAGGATCTGGCTCCTGCTGGGGAATGGATCCAGTGCAGCTCAGAGGGAGGAGGGATCCAAAGGTGGATCCCGACCTCCATCAGATCCTCGTGGAAAAAGGTGTGGGAAAGAACCCAGCCAGGGCTGAGGCAAGGGGAATTCCCACCTTTCCCTGGATCCAGGAGAAATGGGAGCAGACAAAGCCTGGGGCTGCCCCTGGGTACAAAACAGAGGGGGAAGATGCTCATTAAACACCTTTAATTAGCCTGGCCGGAGGGGGATGTTTATTAGGGAGCTGGGGGGGTTCCTGCAGGCTTTTCTTTGGGAAGGGTGGGGATGGAGGCTGGGGTGGCCCCGGCTCTGGGGGTTTGGAGAGCCCCAAAGCAGGACTGAGGCTCCGGAGCTGCCGCGTTTCCCTCAGGGCTGAGCCCAGCAGCGATGGATGAAGGGATGGCCCCAGTTCCTGTGGGATGGAGCTCTCCAGGACCTCCCCACGAAGGTTTCTCCTGCCCTGCTTTGCTCTCCAAAGCGCTCCCTTTGCTTCCTGAGCACCTTCAAATGAAAGGGAGAAAAGCAGAGCGAGTCAAAGCTGTTTTCACCCAATTTCTTACCCAGGTGATGCCAAACAAAATCTGCTTTAAAGCCAGCTCCAGGGCCCCGCTCCTCCCTCTTTGCTTTACAAACAGCCCCTTGGAGAAGGGATGGATTGGAATGAGGACATTGCTCAGGAAATGGTTCAGTTCCAGGTTTGCAGGTTTTGGGTCCGTTTCCACCTTGGGGTTAATTGTGCAGTTCAGGTGATGCTGTCCCACCCTCCCAGGCTCCTCAATTCTCTTTGAGAATTTGAGAACAGTTTTTGGGCCCGGAGCTGCAGCGGTGTCCTTGGCTGTGGGCTGGAGAAGGATTGTTGTGCGTGCCTGAGCTGTGAGGAGACCCTGCTGACACTTTGTGTGGAGTTCAGGGTTACCAGCGCAGTGCAGAACCTGGGAAACACGAGAGGAAAGCTGAAGGCACCAGGGGTGGCCTGGGGGACATCTGGGGGACATCGGGGCTGGTTTTTCCGCACTCCTGCCGCGCGAGACGGCGGAGCAGAGGGCAGGAGCGGCTGGAACAGGGTTGAACAGGTAGGGCAGGTCTGGGGAAAGGGCCCCGTGAGCTCCTTCCCACCTGCGAGCCCTGATCAAACACCTCTGCGGGCGGCCCGGGGGCAGCCGTGATGTAATCGCGGCAACCCCAAACAATCGGGCCTTTCACGGCGGCCCCGATAACAATCCCAACAGTATGGAAGGGCTGCCATGCAAGAATACACATGCACATTCTCCACTGCGGGGGAACTGAAAGCCCGAGTGAAAAGGGGCTTGTTAAGAATATGTAGCCTGCTTTCATAATCACTCCATCAAAGAATGGGCCCTTGAAAACAAGGCTTTAGGCTTATAGAAGGCTTTCTGTGCCTTGACCTTGCAAATATGCACAGATGCCAACTTTTTTTTTTTTGCAAGTGAACTTGGAGTCTCCCAGCGTGGTGCCGGAGCGGTTGGCAGGCGAGGGGGGCAGGAGGTCCGGCCGTCCCGGGGGACACGGAGCCAGGAGGGCACGGATTTACCTTTTCCTCCTGCGAACCGCGCTCTGCGGCCGCGGAGGGCGAGGCAGGGCCGGGGCAGAGCTGGCCTGGGGGTGTGCTGGGGGTTCTGTGCCCAGGTCAGGGCGGTTCTGGAGGATGTGGCTGTCCCTTGGCTGCCATCAGCCCTGTTTTACACACGGGGAGGTTGAGGCACAGCTGGGAGCGGTGACGCACCCGCTGTGTGTCGGTTCCGTGATGCTTCCGAGGATCCACCTGGAGGAGTCACCCGGCTGACGTTTCCGGAGCCACCGATGGGACACGCGCGTCCCCAGGCAGAGCCTGGTGGGATTTTCCCTGGATGTGCCTCCCTTGGAGCAACTCACGTTCCTAGGCTGGGGATGAGCCACAGCTCGGGACACATCCACAGAATCCCAGGAAAAGATCTCCAAGATCCAATCCGTGCCTGATCCCCTCCTTGTCGGCCCAGAGCACCGAGTGCCGCATCCTTGGACTCCTCCAGGGGCTGGAAAATCCGACCGGACGGGATCTGATCCCACCACTTACCCCACCTTCCTTTTCCTCTCTTTAGAGACCCCAAACCCTTCACCCCACGGATTTTCCCTCTGGCCACATTGGCTCATCCCCGTTTCCATGTCCCCCGTGTCCCTGTGCCACCTGGGGCCGGGCCGTGTGTCCGTGCCTGTTTTCCAATGTATTCCCTGGCAGCCGGGGGAAGCCTTCCAAGAATCCCCACCTATTTCCGTCAAAAGGCGCCTTTGTTCCCCTCGGACACAATGCGGCTTTGATTCCCTCCTCCTCAGCCCGGAGCTGCGGGAAGGTGTGAGCTGTGCACAGCCGGGAGGGACGGGAAATCCCCAGGATGGGATATCCTCGGGATGGGATATCCTCGGGATGGGATATCCTTGGGATGGGATATCCTTTGGGATATCCTTGGGATGGGATATCCTTGGGAATATCCTTGGGATGGGATATCCTCGGGATGGGATATCCTCGGGATGGGATATCCTCGGGATGGGATATCCTTGGGATGGGATATCCTTGGGATGGGATATCCCTTGGGATGGGATGGGATATCCTCGGGATGGGATATCCTCGGGATGGGATATCCTTGGGATGGGATATCCTTGGGATGGGATATCCTCGGGATGGGTTTTTTGGAGCTCTGGAGGTGAATCCCGTCCTTCTCCCGGGGTGCTGCAGGGAACAGGGGTGGCCTCACCCTCGGTGAGCTGGGCAAGGCGAACAGGGAGGCCTCGGTGTTCCTCACGGAGTTATCCCAGCGGGATCAGCGTCCCTGGGAAGAGCTCACCTGGCCCCACAGGCTGTGGGGCGTTGGTGGCGGGAGGAGTGCGCGCTCCGCGGGGAATGGGAGCGGATCTTTGGGAAGCACAGGGCAGGAGATGCCCTGGGGACGTTCTGAGCGTGGTGTGGAGGCCACAGGGAAGGAGAAGCTCCACGTGCAGGGACAGCGGTGGCCCCTGGTGGCCTCTGTCCCTGTCCTGACTGGAGCACCATGGGGACACCCACGTTTCCTGGGAAAAGGGATCCAGTCCTGCCCTGGCCTGGGGCATTCCTTGCAGCCCCAACTGTAGGGCTGGACTGGGTCCTGGTTTTGGGAAGCCCAGATGGATTTTCCTGGGGATATTCCTGGTTTTGGGAGTCCCAGATGGATTTTCCTGGGGATATTCCTGGTTTTGGGAGTTCCAGATGGATTGTGCTGGGGTTATTCCTGGTTTTGGGAGTCCCGGATGGATTGTGCTGGGGGTGTGTGGGAAGGAGAGCAGGAACAAGCCCCCGATGGGTTTCTCCTGGATCTCCCCCCAGTCCCATCCCCTCCTCCTGCCCCGTGGGGGTCCCTATTCCCGGTGGGATGGGGATGGGGGTGTCTCCCCCCGTTCCCACACAGACCCCTCCATTCACAGCTCTGTCCCCGTTAATTTGTTGTGGCCAGGAGCAGCAATAGCCGCTTTGTGCCGGGCGAGGGAAGGAGGGAAAAAAACCCCGGCCCAGACAGCGGCTCCAGTGTTTTCCAGCCTGGGATGGTTTTCCCCCTCCGTCCTCCCTCTCTTTGCCTGGAATAATGTTTGTGATTGTAATGGCCCGTCCTGCCCAGGGGAACACGGAGCCTCTCCCCCTTCCCTCCCCTCCTCTCCAAACCCTGGGAGAAGTTTAAACAACACCGAGAGGTTTTTCTCACCGGGCTTATTTTACTCATAGGAAACGAGGGGGTGAGAGGAGGGAGCTGGGAGCTGTTGGCAGAGGGGGAGCTGAGCTTGGGAGAGGCGCTGGGATCCCTCTGGATCCCTCTGGAGATCCCTCGGAGCCTGGAGCCCCCCAGGATGGTCCCGCTCCTGGTGCCGCCAACACAGCCCAGCAAACGCTCCAGGTGTGGAGCAGGGATGTGTGCGGAGCCCAAGGAGCCCCAAACCTGAGCCCTGTTTGGTGCCTGGAACATTCCCAGAAATCCCAAACTCCTGCCAGATGGAAGGGAGGGAGGTGGATGTGCCAGCTCCAGCGGGGACCCAACCGCAGCTTCTCAGGGAAGGAATTCTTCCCTGTGAGGACAAAATCCTTCCCTGGGAGAGTGGGAATTCCCAGAGCAGCTGTGGCTGCCCCTCCTGCATCCCTGGAAGTGTCCAAGGCCAGGTTGGATGAGGTTTGGAGCTACCTGGGACAGTGGGAGCTGTCCCTGCCCATGGCAGGGGTGGGATGAGCTTTAAAATCCCACCCAAAGCATTCCAGGGTTCTGTGATTCCATGGCTGAGGGACAGCCCCGCTCTCCCCTCCGCTGGTTTTCACCCTGCAAGTCCGGGTGTTCCCTTTCCATGGGATGAGAGAGGGGGAAAAGAGGGAAAGAAAAATCTGGAGTGAGGAACCTCAACCCTCACTCAAACCTGGGCTGCTCCCGATGCCGAGCTCTGGGAATGCCGCTGCTCCCGGGAATCCTCGGGCTGGAATCGCCTCAGGGGCCTCCCAGGGTCTCTTCTCCTCCCTCTGGTCCCTGCTGCTCCATGGGCTGGTGCTGGAGGATGGAATTTGCTGGGATCCTGTTAAATTTGAGCCCTGGGGCCAGGAGAACTTCCATTGAATCCTTAATCCCCCTTTTCCCTGCTCCCAGCAGCCTGTCCTGGGCTGAGCTGTGCCCCTAACAGAAATCAAAGGATGTATTTGTGCTTTTTTTAGGAACTTAGCCATTGGGATTGGGATCCAGAACTTCCCGGAGGGCCTGGCTGTCAGCCTGCCTCTGCGTGGCGCGGGATTTTCCACCTGGAAATCCTTCTGGTGAGCTCTTCCCCCTGCTCCCGGGAAAACGAGCCCTTCTGCACCTCCTGCCCGCTGCTTCCCTCCCGTATCCGTGGGCTGCTCCATCGGGGAGCCGGGATGGGCTTGTTCTGGAGCTGCTGCGTTCCCTCTGGAGTCACGGGGAGCTGCTGGGAGCGCTGCGGCTCTCCAGCTCCTTCCACACCCTCCAAGCTCAGATCCGAGCCCCTGGATCCCATGGGATGCATCCCTGATCCCAACAATCCCCACATCCCAAGGGATGAATCCCTGATCCCAACTATCCCCACATCCCAGGGGTGCATCCCTGATCCCAACTATCCCCACATCCCACGGGATGAATCCCTGATCCCAACTATCCCCACATCCCACGGGATGAATCCCTGATCCCAACTATCCCCACATCCCATTTCAGCGCCTGTGCTGAGCTCCCAGATCCCGCACTGCCATTTATTATTAATATTTAATTAATATTTATTATAATTATTTTCAACTTTATGTCACTTCATTTTTCTTTCCCTTCAGGCTGGATTTTAACCCCACTTCTATTTTTATTCCCCTTTTCCCTGAGGCGCAGGAGCCAGGGGCACGAACCCAGGGAGCGGGAGCCGCGTTCCTGCCCTGAGTGATGGATGGAGGGCAGGGGGAGCCTCCCAAACTGCTCCAAAGTTTTGTTTTCCTTTCCTCCCACCCAGCTCAGAAGTGCTGCAGGATTGCTGCTGCAGGGAAGGGAATTCCCATGGTCCAGAGAGTTGGGAACAATCCTAAAGGGAAAGACAAGGAGCAGGAAGGACGTGGCTTTATCCTACTTGAGGCTGTGGCTCAATCCTCTTTGGGATTGAGCTGTGCTGCTTGGAAAGGTTTCCTCTGCCTGGGAGAGCTGGATCCCCAAATCCCACGGAGCTGTTGGGGGCAGGAATTAGATCCTGCCTGGAGAATCCAGCTGGATTAGGTCAAATTGCCTGTTACCATAACCCAGTGCCCGGTGTCCGAGCTCCTGCTGGGGATGCAGGAGCCCCGTTATCCCTTTGGGATGGCTGTGGCAGCTCCTCTCCAGGTCTCCAGGGATTTTTCCGGCCGTTTCTCCGGCAGGTACGGCCAGCTGAGCGGGATGGTGGAGCCCCTGGCCGGCGTGCTGGGCGCCTGGGCCGTGGCGCTGGCGGAGCCGCTGCTGCCCTACGCGCTGGGATTCGCGGCCGGAGCCATGGTGTACGTGGTGATGGACGACATCATCCCCGAGGCACACACCAGGTGAGACCCCCGCTCCTGGGGACACCACCCGCCACCCCCGGAACAGGAGTGTCCCTGGAAACGGGAATCTGGGAGCAGAGGGAAGATAAACGGCCCGGGATGTGGAGATGGGCTCTGCTGGGAATCCTCCAGGGAAGGGGGAGGTTGTCCCGGGGCTGGAGATGGGGTTTGGTGTAAAAATATTTACAGGAAAAACGGACTAAATGAGCCAGCCTAACCTTCTAAAACTAAATAAAATCATCTTTGTAAGTTAAGATAAATAAATCAATAAAATATATAATAAATAATAAATAATATGTAATTTATAAAATATAATATATTAAATATAATATATAATATATTAAATATAATGTATAATGTATAATATATAATGTATAACATATAACATATAACATAAAATATATAACATATAATATATAATATACAATATGCAATATACAATATACAATATATAATATATAACATACAATATACAATATACAATATACAATATATAATATATAATATATAATATATAATATATAATATATAATATATAATATTTAATAATTAATATATAATATTATATGCTATATGTCATGTATAATATATAATATATAATGATTAATAATTAATAATTAATAATTAATAATTAATCAGGAATAATAAATAATATACCATAAATAATAAATAATAATATATTAGAAATAATAAATAAAAAACTAATGTTACAAGAAGGAAGAAGAAACAAAAATGTTGCTGACAGACAAAGAGGCATCAAACCGAGTATGATGACACTTCAAACTTTTACCAATAAAATTAAGAAAGCCTCAAAAACAAAATAAGCCCACCAAGTTTTTTGCAAAAGCAAAAAACACATAATTTTTCAATTAAATTATAAAATTTAATATATTCAATTTTAATTTAAAATTGAAAGCAAAAACCACCAATTAAACAAGGCGTGACTGCCCAAACCAAAACGAAAAATAAATATAAACAGTGGTTCAAAGCACATTGAACAGCTTTTACTGAATCCACACTAAATCACCCCAAATCCTTTATCTCCTTGGTTTGGGATGCTGGGAGGGTCAGGATGGAGCCGAGGGGCCCCGTGAATCCCGGGAATGGGACAGGGTGGGACACGGCGGCGTTCCCTCCTCCAGCACTCCCCTCTCCCCTCTCTCCTGCAGCGGTAACGGGAAGCTGGCGTCCTGGAGCTCCATGCTGGGATTTGTGGTGATGATGTCCCTGGATGTGGGGCTGGGATAGGGCAGTGCCGCGTTCCCGGAGGAGCCGTCAGAGCCCCGCGTGCCGCGGGATTGGGACCGGCCGCGCCTCGGCCCGGGACTGGATCTGTACATAGATTTTTTGGGATCTGGTTTGGTGTTGATTCCCTCCGATTTTGTATCTCCCCCTCCCCTCCGAGTTCCCGACGTGGGTGGGTCCTCCCAGATCCTGCTTTGGTTTTCCTCTTGGAAGCGGTGTTGGATGGCGCTGGGCTGGATTCTCCAAGGAAAGGCACTCGGGGTTTTGATCGGAGCTTGGGAATTCCCTGTCCCGTGTGGAGGAGGTGATAAACCGTGGGATCGCAGCTCTGCCACGTCCTGCTGCTCCTCGGGAATTGGTTTGGATGGATGGAGACAGTCCAGGCAAATAAAGATGAAATTCCTTGGGATCTCTGCAAGAGGGAAATGTCATTTTTTTTCCTAAATGTGTCTCCAACGGGCTGTGTCCAATGATCCGGGGTTTTCTATGGGGGAAAATCCAGCAGGAAAGGAGGATTTGAGTGTTTTCCAGCACGTGACGGGGCTCCACACTGGCCCTGCCTGGATGCAATTCCATGTGGGGCTCTCCAGCCTTCCCAAGGGATTCAGAATTCCCTGAAGAGCCAAGCCAGGGTTATCCCGGTCACCCCACACCCGCAGGAAGAGCCGAGCCAGCACCGGAGCGTTCCAGGATGAGCGAGTGAATCCCTTGGGATGAATTAATTATCCCACCCGGAGAGCCAGGAACACACACGGGGGTCTCTGCCTCTTCTCCTGCTGCTTCCCAAGCGTTTCTCATGGAACGGCTCTTCCTGGGAGCTGAGGATTGATCCCGGCTGAGCAGCGAGTCCCCCGGCCAGGAGGGAATTGCTGGGATTGGAAGGATGCTGCAAATCCCAGCTCCCATCTCCAGCACAAAGGGCTTCCCTGAGCCCTCCCGTGGGAATAACTGGATCTCCTGGCTGCCTCCTGCTGCTCAGCCCCTCTGGAAGCGGGGCTGGGATATCCCGGATCCGCCTTCGGTCCTGCCGGGGCCAAAAGTTGGAATAAACTGAGCTGGAGCTGGCCCTTTTTGTATGATCCTTGTTTTTCCATTGGATTTCCTTTCTGTGTCCCCCTGGATGATCCAAAGCTCCTGTTTGCCCATGGATTTGACCTTTTAACTGTGATTGCTTTCAATAAATGGGAAATGGAGTTTGCACGGAGTTGTTTCCATGCTGTAAATCCGTGGATTTGCTCCTCCTCCTTCCACTCCGCTGCCTTTCCTTTCTCCAGCCTCCTGGTTCCTGGCTTTCCCCTCGGCTGGGAAAGCAGCTCCCTCGGGGATGGGAAAAGGGGGAAAAGCCAAGGAAAGGCAGTTCCACCCTGGCCGTGCATCCCTGGGAGGTGCGAGCTGAGCCGGGCCCCTCCAGGCACGGCGGGAATTTGGGAATTGAGCCTTTAGCAGGATAAACAGGGGCTGCCAGGCCCTTCCCTTTCCAAGGTGAGAGCTGTCCCTGCATCCCAGGGCAGGAGAGGGAAGGGATCAGCCACAGCCGGGAATCGGAGCCCTTCCAGCATCCCATTCCCAGGGCTGGAGCATCTCCCACTGCTCTCCCTAATCCCGCCCGCACTGAAGGCTCTGGAAAGCTTGGAGCCCTCTGTTTCCAACCCAAAGCCTTAAAAACCTCCCAATCCTCCGGGATGTCCACGGCTTGGGATTCTCCAGCCTGCCAGGGATGTTTCCTGGTTTAATTCCTGGCATGTGGTGGGGAAAAAAACCCGTTAGAGAGTTAAGGGCAGCCTTGTAATCAGATTTCTGGGAGATGATGCCACAAGAAGGATTTAATCCCTCTGGGATGCAGCCAGGCCAGATGAGGGTGGAGCCCTAGGGAAGGAGCAGGGAGGGAGGGAGGGATGCAGAAATCCCAGATGAAAATCCCTTTTTTTCCTGTTTTCCTGTTTTTCTGTTTGGAGTGGAATGGAATTAACTCCCTGTTCCTGAGGGCAGAACGTTCCACAGGCCTGAAATGACCAGACAAGGAAATGTCCATGGAAAAGTGGAATTTGGGAGCAGAGGGAATGTGAACAGCCAGCCAAGGCCTGGAACACGGAGATGCTCCTTGGCTGGAGGGAAGAGTTATCCCACGGGATCCTGGGGATCAGGATGCAGCCGAGGGATTGCTGTGCTCCCTCCCCATCCCTGGGAATGGCCCATCCCCTGTCCCTGCCTCTGGAAAACGGGGACAGACCCCTGGATCACAGCCCCACGCTCCTGCTGAGCACAGGGAAGGTTCATCCCTCTCTTTCCATCCTTTCCCTGGGAATACCAAGCCTTTGGAGGGGTTTGAAATGTCCTGTGGGCTTCCTGCGAGCAAAACACCAAATCTGAGCTGGGCATTTCTCCCTCCCCTCCACTCATTTTTCAATAAAACCTTCAGATTCTTGAGTTTGGTCTTAAAATCCTAATAAACTTTAGCTCTGCTTGGAGGGAAACTTCAGCTCTGAACTCTCCCCGTTAAAACTTCAACGCCCTCAAATAAATGTGTTTTTCTTTCAGTGGGGTTTAAAAACACCCAGCCTGTGTTTGTGGCCTCTTTGCTGCTGCTTTTGTGGGAGTTTTGGGGTTTTCCAAGCCCTGCTGATGAGGGGAGTGACCCGAGAATGGGAAAAGAATGGGAAAAGAATGGGAAAAGAGTGGGAAAGGAAAGGGAAAATCCCCCAATTCCTCCCAGCCCTGGAGGTGTCTGTGCCTGGCACTGGAGGTGCCCTGGTGCTGCCTGTGCACGAGCTGCTGCTCCCAGGGCTTGGCCGAGCACTGTGCCGCTGGAAAAGCCCAGGAATGCGGGGCTGGGTGGATTTTCCTGCTTTTATTGTGGTTTGGTGTTTTTTTGGGGGGTTGGTTTGTTTGTTTTTGGTGTGTTTCAGAGGCCAAACCGTGGAGGCAGCATGGGTGAGTGGTGAGGAGATGGTGGAGGAATCCCCAGGGAAGCTCCTCAGGAGCCAGGAAGGATGAGCTGGGGTTCTCAGATCTCCAGGAGGGGATGGAGGTGGCTGGTGGCTGGGAGAGGGCACTGGCCCTGCGTTTATCCAGGGATTAGGGCTCTGGAACGGGGATTAATGGGGTGTGGAATGCTCAGCTCTGGGCTTCTCCTCCCTTTCCTCCAGCTCACGGCCCCAAGGTGAAGGAGAGCGGGTTTAGATGGGCCATTGGGAAGGAATTCCTGGTTGGGAGGGTGGGGAGGTTCCCAGAGGAGCTGGGGATGCTCCTGGAACCCTGGAAGTGTCCAAGGCCAGCCTGGGGCAGTGGAAGGGATTCCCTTCCCAGAAAAGGGGAATTTCCTCCTGAGGGGCGGTGGAGGGGCAGGAACTGCTCAGGACAGGGAATTCCGGAGCTGTGTCGGGGGATTGGGATGGATTTTAGGGAAAGGCTCTTCCCCAGAGGGTGCTGGGGGCTGCCAGGGGAGCATGAAAGGTTCTGGGGGATGCAGGACCGGCTCTGGGAGATGCAGGAAGGGCTCTGGGGGATGCAAGAAAGGTTCTAGGAGATGCAGGAGCTCAGAACCGGCTCTGGGGGATGCAGGAAGGGTTCTGGGGGATGCAGGAAGGGTTCTGGGGAATGCAGGAAGGGTTCTGGGGCTGCAGGAGCTCAGGACCGGCTCTGGGGGATGCAGGAAGGGTTCTGGGGCTGCAGGAAGGGCTCTGGGGGATGCAGGAGCTCAGGACCGGCTCTGGGGGATGCAGGAAGGGCTCTGGGGCTGCAGGAGCTCAGGACCGGCTCTCTCGGCGGGGCCGGGGGAGGCTCTGGCGGCTGCGGTTCTCAGGGCGGGGCCAGCAGCCCCAGCGGAGGCTTTGCACGCAATAAAGAACAATAATCCCATTATGAGCCCCGCGGGCAGCGCGGCTGGAGCCGCTCGCGGTGCGAGATGCGCGCCCGGGGCGGATCGCGGCACCTGAGTCACCTGGGCCGGGAAAAGGGATGGATTTCACCTCCCGCCCCTCCCCTGGGCACGGCCACAGCCCGCGGCTGGTGAATAGAATGACTTCTGTTCTTCCTGAGCCTCTTTGTTGGGCTTGGCAGCCGCGCCGCAATTAAAGCCGAGCCGCTGCTGCATCGCCTCCCGCTGCTCCCCTGCCCCCGCCCAGCGCTCCTGGGAGCCCAAATCCCAGCCTGGAGGAGCCCAGTCCCAGCCTGGATAAACCCAAATCCCAGCCTGGAGGAGCCCGGTCCCAGCCTGGATAAACCCAAATCCCAGCCTGGAGGAGCCCGGTCCCAGCCTGGATAAACCCAAATCCCAGCCTGGAGGAGCCCAGTCCCAGTCTGGATGTTGCTGGTGATAACTGGAAAGCTTTGGTGTCCAGGGCTGGTTCCTGAGGGGAATTGTTCCCAGCTCTGCCTGGTGCCTCTCGTGTTCCTGCAGGAACAGGGAAAACGCTCCTGAGCGGAGCTGGCCTCACACCATCCCTGTGCTGCTCCTGGAGCAGAAACAAACCCGGCTGGACACGGGCTGGGGGAAGAAGAGAAGCCTGGATCTGCTTTCCTTTGGCTGCACAATCATTTCCCTGCCATAAAATCATAAAATCGCCGGCGGGAGCCGGGGGAAGATGAGGTCATAGGGAAAAATGCAGCTCGGGAAACAATGGAGGGAGGTGCTGCCAACGGCTGGGGTGGGGATGTCCCACAGCCAGGGGTGTCCCGGGCACCCCCGGATCCCACAGGGACCCATTGGGATCACCTTCTCTTCCAGGATCCCACCTGGGACCCTCAGCTCCTCCAGAACCTTCACCTCCACCAGGATCCCAACTCCACTGGAACTACCATCTCCCCCAGGATCCCATCTCCCCCAGGATCCCATCTCCCCCAGGATCCCATCTCCTGCAGGATCCCATCTCCTGAAGGATCCCACCTCTGCCAGGACCCCCAGCTTCTCCACGATCCCATCTCCTGCAGGATCCCAACTCCTCAGGGATATCAGCCTCCAGTGGGCCCCATCTCCTCCAGGATCCCAATCCCACTGCAATCTCCCATCCCACCATTCCCAATCCCACTGCAATCTCCCATCCCACCATTCCCAATCCCACTGCAATCTCCCATCCCACCATTCCCAATCCCCAGAGCTGCTCCCCCAGCTCTGTGCAGGACAAGCCATCAGCATTCCCAACCTTTTTCCTTCCCCTTTCTTTCCCAAGCTCTAAACTCCGGTCAGGGCTGGAGCATCCTGGTTTTTCCCGCCCTGATGTTCCAGGCCAGGCTGGCAGGAGCGAGGTTGGATTTGAAACACAAATCACATCTCACAGCACATTTCCCTTTCTCCTTTCCTTTTCCAGGCCGGGATTTATCCCAGCTCTGCTGGTGGATGGACAGGAATCCAGGGGGATCTGCAGCTCCTTTTCCTGAATCCAGCATTCCCGCTGCGTCCCTGGAGGTCAGAGAACGCCGGGAATTTGGGGGAAATTTCCTAAATCTTGTCTTGGTGGTGATTTCACCAAATCCCTCCAGTTCTGGGCGGAGAGAAAATCCTTTGAAGAGCGGGGAGCTGACACGCAGGAACCCCCGGGGCTCCCGGGTCATTAAACAAATTAAATCTCAACAGGAGGAGGCCGCGGTGCTGGGTGTGAAACCCTCGGGCTCCGGAATTGCTCGGCAGCTCCGGTGGGTGGAAGAGACAAAGGGATGTGGGGGGATTTGGGGGGATTTTGGGAAACTTTGGGGGATTTTTTCCTCCCCTGACACAGCCGGTGGCAACTCCGATCCTTTTTGGATTCGCGGAGATTTGTCTGTGCTGGAGCAGAACCTGGGATGGGCTGGGGTGGACTGGGATGGGCTGGGATGGGCTGGGATGAGCTGGGATGGACTGGGATGAGCTGGGATGGACTGGGATGGACTGGGATGGACTGGGATGAATTCCCTGTTCCCGAGGTGAGAGCTCCCGGTCCTGCCCGGTGGGCTCCAGCTCTTTCCATGGAATCATGAAATCAGGAATCTCCACAATCCGTGGCCTCTGCCTCCGCTCCCGCCGGGCTCCAAAGGAATATTTCACAGGGAAAGCTTTTCCCTGGAGCAGGGTGAGCGGAGCCCTCAAACACCTCGGGCAATCCCGAGCTCCGGAGGGAGGAGGAGCAGGATCTTCCCTTCGGCCAAGGAGAGGTGTGAATT